CCCCCCCACGCTCGCCTTTCCGGAGATTAATCCAGAAAGGTGGAAGATATCTTGTCAACTTAACTTATAGACGTTACCAGAATTCTTCGATTTCCAAAAAGTAAACAAAATACAAAATCACAAAGAGATCATCCCGCTCTAAAACAGAGTTTGTTATGCTGTTTTAAGTGCATTGTGTACCTAATGGGTAGGGTGGGAGGGTGCAAGCAAAGTACATTACGTATTCAATTCATGAGTCGGTGCACGATCTCTCATACCGTTGGTTATTCGTGATCTCCTTTCCTTTTAAGGGTACGTTAAAGTCCACTCTGTAGAAGGAAAGTCTGTGAGTATTTTTACCGCGGACAGCAATATTATACTCTTGCACTAAACTCAGGAACACCCAAATTATGGGTACCGGTACCAGAAAATATATAGCACTGCTCAGATAGCTTACCTCATCAAAACACGCTTTCCCCTGCAATCCACTGAGCGAATACTCAGTTTGTCAAAAGACATTATGAACCACTATTATAAACAGAAGGAGAAGAGGTTGACAAAAATCTTACGATCACCTTGTGATATTAACAATGATTTATGACCTTTACCAGTGGTCTGAAAGATGTACTGGTCTCTCTCCCAGAATATGTCATGTAGAAACAAACGATCCGTCCGCAACTCGATCCCACGCAGAAATGGCGGCTGCCATTAGTTTTGTCAGTAAGGCGAATCGCATTTCTACACGTTATTTGCAGTCCTGTTTGGTAAATTTTAGATATTTTCACAAAAGATGTTCGCGAAATTGCAATATGATCGCCAGCAAACGTCCGAAGCACAGAACAGAGCTCGTTCAATCACAAAATGGTACAGGTAAGGTGGATGAGTACTCAGCACATTTGACGTACTTGCACGTGTTTGGGGTTTTTCCTTCCTTCCTTCCTCGGTTAACTAAGTGACAAATCTGTGGAGTTTTATGTAGTGAATGACAATGGCATGGGGAAGGCTGTGCTCCAAGGAAAATTGAAGCGAGCCTAGTGCTCTGAAACTGTGAAATCTAAGGTGCTCAGCATAATTATGTTTTTTGTTTTTTGTTTTTTTTTTTTTATGAAAAAACTAAGATTCTTGAGTCGCCCAAGAGCTTAAGTAAGGCGCCAGGGGCCATCGGGCGCTGCTGGACTACAGCCGATCACTCCAGATGCATGAATTTCAATTTAGACTCGTCATCCTCAATTTCAGTTTTTAGAATAACAATTAAATCACTGTCATCCAAAAAGTAATAAAAAGACTCTAAGCAGAGAAAAGTGACTGTAGGAATCAGACATTTTTGCATTTTTTCCTATTTAAAGTATTTCTTACCCTTCAACTCCCATGAGTGACTTGGGGCAGAATTTCTCCTCACGATGTCAATTCAACATCAAGCAGACAAGTGATGAAAATAAAGTCAATTGGGGGGGATTATTAGTTGATCAAATACCAAATTCTCTGGACCAGCTTAAGAATTGTATTGCTAGCAGTGAGGATAATTGCTAATGAGATCTGGGAGTGAAAGGGCTTATTAAAATGATTAATTTCAAATAAAAAAATGTAATGCAAGAATCAGTGACCTTTAAAACCAGAGTTACCATGAAAAGTTTTTCAATGAAGGGAGTAAGTCAGGCTTTTAGAGCATAAGGATGTTTTGCAAATCCTGCTGGTCAAACAAATTGTTAAGATGAAGATTGCGTAGAAGTTTTGCTTTTTAATTAACGGTTTTTAGGTAATTGTTCTTTGTTGTGGCATGTTTATTATACATTTTATATCATGTTTTTACCTGATGACTATTCTAATTTGGTATTAACCCATTAATGGCCGCAGCTTTTGTGGAAAACTGTGTTTTGAAGCTAGTCAAGCAGATTTGGGGTCACTGTTGTGGTTTTAAAGCTCAAACTTACCAAAAACCCCTTGACAGCT